TATATATATATAGAGAGAGAGAGAGAGAGGAGCGTTCAAATGAAAACTCTCTTCATTTGTGTAAACCGTGTAAACCAATCTCAACCATCCATTTTCTTGATCAATGGTCAAGATTTATAGGCGTTATTTATGGAAATTAAAGAAAAATAAAAATTCAATTTATTTAATCAGTAAGGGTAGAATGGTAAACATAATTAACAATTCTTAAGCTCCTAATCCTATTCTATCCGATTGAATCCCGTCTTCATCGCTTCATTCCCCCAAATCAGGCAAAGGTATCCTTTCTTCCCAATCGAATATAGTGTTTCCAAAATCATCGATCATCAGCATATTTAAGAAAAATGGTCGGCAATAATGGAGGTATGTTATATTAATTCATTACGTTTTCGATTTTTTAGAACCCTAACAGTATTCATTTTTCTCCAATTCAACATGAAATTATTTTACAATGAGTGCATTTCATATGAAAAGGTTTCATTTTTTATTTTTATGAACATTAATATGTATTTTAATGCACTTTAATTTCATATAAAAACGTTTCATTTTTCGATAATTAAACATGAAATTGTCATATTTTAATGCACATTAATTTCATGTACAATAACATATAATATGCATCCGTTTCATGGTACGATTGGTTCATGTAGAACAAAATCCATTATGCATCCATTTCATGATACGTAAATTTCAAAAAGAACAAAAYCCATTATGCACCCGTTTCATGACCATTCTAACAACTGAACGGATCAACTTCAGATACAATRCAACATGGCTCACGATGAAAGTGATASATTAATATCGAAACATTTAGAAAATGAAAACGTTTCATGTTTTGAATGGTTCATGTAGAACAAAATCCATTATGCACCATTTCATGTTACGTATATTTCAAAAATAACAAAACCAATGCAACATGGATCACAATGAAAGTGATACATTAATATCGAATTATTTAGAAAATTAAAATCGAATTATTTAGAAAATGAAAACGTTTTATTTTCTTGAAACTATTTCATTAAATATCTTGTAATGAAACATTTTCACCTTCAAATTCTTACGTGCAGATTAACTTCATAACGAACAAAATCCATTATGAATTATTTCATTACCTATGAATCTATTTCATTATATATTTCATTACCTTCTTTACATTAATTTTTTTCATTATATATTTTAAATGAAACTATTTCATTAAATATTTCATATTAATCTACTCCATTATGCACCCGTTTCATGATACGTATATTTCAAAAAGAACAAAACTCATTATGCACCCGTTTCATGACCATTCTAACAACTGCACGGATCCACTTCAGATACAATGCATCATGGATCACGATGAAAGTAGTGCATTAATCTCGATTTACTTTATTAACTTTTTATATGAATCTATTTCATTACCTATTTCATGACATTTTCATTAATCTCGATTTACTTTATTAACTTTTTATATGAATCTATTTCATTACCTGTTTCATGACATTTTCATTAATCTCGATTTACTTTATTAACTTTTTACATGAATCTATTTCATTAATCTCAATTTACTTTATTAACTATTTTACATGAATCTATTCCATTATGCACCCATTTCATGATACGTATATTTCAMAAAGAACAAAACCAATTATGCAACCGTTTCATGACATTTTCACATYTGAACGCAACAACTTCAGATACATTTTTACATGGATCTCCATGAAAGTACTGCATTAATCTCGAATTTGTTAAGAAAATGAAAACGTTTCATGAAAATGAATCTATTTYATTAATTACTTTGCGATGAAATCCTTTCACCTTTTCCTATTAAAAAAATAGTGCACAATGGGCTGTTAGGGTGATACATCTTTCTTTGGTTTTCYGYYCGAGTTTTCCTATTTTGTAAGCTTGCATACACTATCATAGTTTCACATGAACAAGATACCCAGATGATTCATTCCATTGTAATTTATTAAAAATAAAGATTTCAATAATATATTATAATAAAAGTTTAAAAATTACCATTTTCAAACCTTCTTCTAATAAATTTGCCTTAAATAAAATATATTACTAACTTCCTTAATTATCAAAAATTTKTGTAAAATGACATAAATAACCTTATCAATTAAATTTAATTAAAAATAAATGGAATTTTCTTATTGGTCGAAATTGGTTCACACGGTTTTTAAGAATTGGATGGTTCGCATTTGAACCTGCCCCTATATGGAAGTTTGAGAGCGTAAGGTTTAAAATGGAGGGGGGGGGGGGGGGGGGGGAAGAGGGTATTTATAGGTAAGGATTTTAGAAAATCGAACCGTCCACAGTACGAAAAGTCGTGTAATGAGTGGTTTTGGGTGAAACGGTTCAAAAAAATTATGACACGCTGTATTGGGAAGACGTACGATTGATGACGTGCGCTCCCRTTTTCTGACACGCGCGTGTGAGTTCTTACCCTTATCCACAGAACCACGCGCACCATATCAATAGACAAGAACTATTGAGAGTTCTGTCAGAGGCTTAAGGGTTACAAAGCCTCTGTGATATGTGTCGGGCCTTCTTATCAGAGTTACACCTTTATACCTTTATAGA